CATCATTCATTTTTGTCTAAGATAAAAGATCTAGAATATATCACCGTTGAGAGAATAACATACCATATTTGTAGGGTCCAACCTCTACTCCCAAAAAGTAAGTTAAAAGGCCAAGATCATTAAGTGAAAATATCTGAGCAAGAGCTGTCACGAACTGATTGACTATGGCAATGGAGTTACCCGTAAGGGTAATGTCATCTACATACACAAGTAGATACAAAATACGACCAGCAGTGTTGAAGACAAATAAAGAGGCATCAGCATGTGAGTTCTTAAAAACAGAAGACAGAAGAAAATTTCTCAATTCCTGATACTAGTCCTGAGGAGCTTGTTTCAGGCCATAGATTATTTTCCTGAGTTTACTCACATGTGTTGGATTGTCTTGATCAACAAATTCGGGTGGTTGTGACATGTAGACATTTTTGAAGAGGTTACCTTGAAGAAAGGCATTGTTGACATCTAGTTTTCATAGGGACCAACCACAACTCACTGCTAGATTGAGCACAACTCGTATGGAGGTTAGTTTAACCATGGGGCTACATGTGTCATGATAATCTATGTCAGGACGTTGATGAAAGCCCTTGGCTACAATGCAAGCGTTGAACCTGTCAATAGAAGCATTAGATTTGTGTTTAATTCGAAATATCCACTTATATCCTACTAGATTATGGCGAGTATCTAGGGGAACCAATTGCCGAGTTCCATTCTTGACTAGAGCATCATACTCCTCTGACATAGCTTGATGCCATTTAGGATCTTTTAGAGCTTGTGTTACTATATTTAGCTCAAGGACACCGGGTGTGAAGGTTCATTTTTTTGAGAGGTTTGTGGATGTTATTCTTGGCTCGAGTGGTCATTCTGTGAGAGGTCTGGGGTTGATTTACAGGTAGGGAAATGTTGGTCGTGGGCTGAGGAGAAGGTAGTTGAGTGACATGGGCCTGTGAGGTGGGTTTAGCTGAGGCGTTGGGCAAGGAAAGTGGCATTGGAGCTTCGCTGGAGAGCTGCTGAGGAGTGTCAACTGCAAATGGTGTATGGAGTGGCCCTTCAATAGTGCAGCTCCCGTGCGAAGTTCCTTCACAATAAAAGAATATTGTAAGAATTCAATAGATACATTGTTTGTAACACAAAACTGTGAAATGAAAATGAGATTATTTTTCATTGCAGGAACACAAAGAACATTATTTAATTGAAAGGTGTTTTGAGAGGGTGTCATGAGAGAGGTGGAACCAATGTGGGTGATTGCAAGATTCAAGCCATCTCCAATCATTTTGTCATTCGAGCCAGTGTAGGGAGTGTGGAGGGAGAGGTTGGTGAGATTAACATGAAGAGAGGCTCCACTGTCCAAGAGCCATGTTAGGGAGGGAGATGAACTAGCTGCATAATGGGCTCTTGGTTGCCATGGTGAAGTAGAGTGATTTGGTGGAGCAGTGAAGTAGTTCTTGGGCGAGGAAACTGAAACCAGTTGAAAGGAGGGGCATTTTTTGGTAGTGTGGCCTTGGATTCTATAGATCTAGCAGTATCCTAAGTATGGACAAGAAGGATGGTTGCCAGGAGAAAAAAGTGGTCCACCAATTGGTGGTGTGGAATACCAATTAGCATTGTGGTTGGAGGGTTGTCAAGAGGTGTTGTTGGTGGAACCTGAGTGAGAGCGCCAGTTTGGTGTGTTGCGACTGGTAGGATTGGTAGTGGCTAGGAAAGGAGATGGTGCTGGTAGTGGCGTTTGCAAGGATGCTTCAAAGTTGAGCAATTTTTCATGAAGTTCTTCAAAGGAAATTGAAGAATCTCGGGCTTGAACTGCCCGAACTAGTTCCTTGTAATCATCTCCAAGGTTGTCAAGAACTTGCTCTGTTAGATCCTCTGCTTCAAGTGGGACTCCAAGAAGGGTGAGTTCATCAAATCAGTCTTTGATGTTCTGCATAAATTTTGAGATACTTTCAGAACCTTTTGTAAGTTTCTTTAGAGTGGTTTTAACTTGCTTGATGCGTCCACGAGATGGCTTAGTGTATGTGTTGACCAAGGTATTCCATGCTTCACAAGAAGTTTTGGATTGAGCAATGAAGGGAATGATAGTTGGGGAGAGGGAACCAATGAGGGCATTAAGGATGAGCTGGTCTTGTCTAATCCCGAGAGTATATGTTGGATTGGAGCAGGTGGTGGTATTTTGAGTGATGGTGGTGGTTGGACATGGTTTTGTTCCATCAACATAGCCTAGGAGATCATACCCAATGAAGAGGGTGTGAAACTATAGTTTCCAAGATAGGTAGTTGCTGGATGTGAGTTTAAGAGGAGTTTGGGCAGTTACGTTGATGGTGATGAGTGTATTATGACTGTAATTGGTGTTTTGAATGGTGGTTTGGGAAGGAGTTGTGGCCATTGTGATGACAACTCCTAATAAAGTTTAAATAATAACAAATATAACTAAGTAATAACAAACTCCTAAGGCCAAGGGTACAACAGATATTAATCTTCTATTAACCGCTTCATCTTCTTCAGAGAAAAAACCAACTTTCTATCTTCCATAAACAACAAGAGGGTTTTGACTGTGAAAGATACATCAAATTACAAAGCATTTGGTGTTAGATTGGCACAAATTCAAGAATGGTGAAAGATTTGTTCGCGATTTGAAAAAACTTTCAAACTTCGGCATTTGTAAACCTGAAACAGGCGTTGATTGTTGCTCGTTGGCCTGCGTCTAATAAGATGATCGTTGAACTTCGTCATTTCATGTACCTTTTTTATGTATTGACATCATGGGTTATCTAAAATCAAAATATTATTACATATTTTTATTTTGGTGTTTTTTTGTCTGAAAGTTCTTGTTCTCTAGACATCTATAGGGTTTCATTTTTGAAGAAAAAATCCTATTGTTCAACCCATTTGATGTAAGATCATCAACAACATCTATCTTTTGAAGATCCGTTCATCATTTGAAGATATGTACGAACTTCGGCATTTGAATACTAAAACCAATGTTGAAAGTTGATCGTTGGCTTGTTTGAAATACGATATTTCTGCCATGTGTTTCTTCCATATTAATTCATTGTGTTTGAATAAAATTGTGTGTAACTACTGACTGTGTTTCTCTCATACTGTAACAATACACTGTAACAAAGACAGTGTTTAATAGTTTTGTAGATGTAATAACAAATTCAAAATAGAGATGGATTGTTTCAATGAAATTATATGCATATATATGTTAACAAAATCTAATAGTACAATATTTTGTATAAGAGTCTTATTACATTATTATTGTTACACTGTTATAGTGTTCGCATATTAAAAAATAGAATAATCACCTTTAAAATGACAGACATAAATATAATGGAGTCATAAATTCAAATCTTGTTATTACTTAGACTGAATGATAAGGATGAAATAATGTTTTCAGACTTGCACTGATAAATGACTTTCAGACCGAAGAAGAAGATAATAAAAGATATTGTTGCAAAATTCAAAATTCAAACTAACTGATTTATCCTCATAATAAACGAAAGAATCAAAGAATCAAATCTTCCATTAAATTAGAAGATTTTTTAATGCATACATTTATCCTAAAAAAATTGAAGGATCAAATTTTCCATTAAATTAGGAGACTTTTAATGCATACATATAATCTGGAAAAAAAAAATTAGTTTTCAAAAATAAATCGCATGAATTAAGGGAGCACAAATGTCAAAGAAAAATCCATTAAAATTTCAAATTATGTACTTGAACACAAATAAGAACTAAAATTAAGGATTTTTTTCCTCTAAATTTTTTTTTGTATATTTTTTTGCAATTAACTCCACAAAGAAGGGTTTCAAATTTTGAAATCAAACAAAATGATATATCCTAAAACTAGGAGATGTTTAATGCATAAATAAACAGAATATTAAAATAATTCATAAAACTAGAATATGTTTAATGCATAAATATAATTTAAAAACGAAACCACTTTTCAAAAAAAAATATGCATAGATCAAGGGAGGACAAAAATGTCACAAGAAAATCTAAAAATTTCAAATAATATACTTAGACACAAATAAGTATCAAAATTAAAGATATTTTACCGTACATTTTTTTATTTGTACTTTTTTACAATTAAAGACGTAGTAGCCAACTTCCAATTTTTTTTATTTTTATTTTTTGATATAACAGCTGTCCAAATGACCATAGCAATATTTCTACACATGTAACGGATTAACGTTGGACCTTGTGCAAAACTACTTCTCTACACAATGTAGTAAGTCTATGGGTGGTGACCACAAGGGACAATGCTTCATGGCATATTTGAATCCCTGACCTATCACTCGTTGGATATTTATTAGATGGCTGAATTACCACTAGACAAACTCCTTGGGTTTAACTTCAAATTTTTGTTCTTATGGTAAAATGACATTATTTTGGGTAATTAGGAATGGGAATTCACCTTTTTTTTTTTCTTTTGAGGGAAAGGAGAGAGAAAAACTTGAATACTTGACCTCAAAAAGTTAAAGTTTTCACAAGGTAAAGAGTATCATTGGACCTAAGGGACATTAGTGATAATTAAAAAGTGCACATAAGGTTATGCCCTTTGAATTGACTTCAAGTTCCTATGTTTTATTGGTCTGGTTAAACAAGGTGACGACAGTCATAACATCAAGATGTTTTTGAGCAAACTAGTTTTCTGCCACATGATCAACTCATCTCAATACATGATGGGAAAGTAGCCTTGTGTTTCCAATATATTGTTTATTTCAAACTAGATCTACAAGAATTTAAAATACATTTCACAATAAAAGTATCAAACTCACTTATAAGACATCTTTCACCCCCAATAATGCGAGATTAGGTCACCACAAGTAAATGGAAATGAATGCTCTTTCGACAATGTTATGACATAAAGATAAGAGTACAGAAGTCGAGAAAAAAACACATATCTTTTCTCAAACCCTTTTGTTGTATTCGTTTCACTAACTTGCATGTGAAACTCAATATCATATCGATGTGTGCATATCCAAACCTTCACTTCTCTCCTTCCTTTAATAACCCTTATTTGCTGCTATAGGAAAGAAGTGTCCTCGTGAAGGGAAAGGCAACGGAGAGAAGCTTCTCTGGTCATTTAGGTCGTCACTTGTACTTGGCTCATCGTTCTTAGGTTGTGCAATGGTGGAAGGGATATAAGGAGAACTGTCTGCTTTCCTGCATCAAAAGTTTGGCGTTCATTTTAGGTGGCGTTTGGAATAATTTATGAAATTCAAAAAATATTTTCTTTAAATAAGTATTTACTATATAATTACTTTAGAGTGTAATTATATTCATTGAATAAGCATTGTTTTTATGTTCACAAAAAATTACTTAAATAAAAAATTTTAAAAAACGTGTTTGGATGATCAACAAAAATATTTGTTTAAAGTAATTTTACACATATTTATAGTTTTTACCACTATACATAAGAGTAGTGAAGATGGAAGAATAACATTCTACACAGAAAACATATATCAGATTTGTGAGGGTGGTGGTGGTATTGGCACTGGTCATGTTGGGGTGGTGATGATAGGTGGTGGTAATAGTAGATTTAATAATGAGAAATATTTTGTGGAGAAAATGTTCGCGTAGAAATGCATTAAAGAATGTAGAATTTTTTTGGATTTATTTAAGTGGTAAAAACAAATTCTACTTCTTTAAAATTACTTCAAAAAAGTTGTTACAAACTCCAATTTCTTTTTTTTTTTTTAACTGCTTGAATCAAAATACTAGATTTAACCTTATATGAAAACTAGACAAGAATGGTGACACAGATGATTTACATCCAACGCCTAATCTTATTGTTTGCCTTTCAACTTTTTAACCATTGTAATCTACATATATTTGGCCTTAAACATACATTTAACCAAAAAAAAAAGAGTAAACACTTGTGTTATTATAAGACAAAAACTTTAAATTTGGAATATTACCTGTAACGACGTTTTTCTAGAAAACGTTGGAGGGAATGCTTTCTTGCAATTGGAAGGTCTGAGAGAATGGAACAATATTATGAGTTAACATATCAGTTCCAAATTTATGACATACTAATATAAAATTTCTAAAGATTGGTCTAAGAGAGTACCTGCTTGCAACTTGCAAATTGAGGGTAAGTTGGATGGCTGAACTAGTTTTGTCACATCTATTTTTGGTGTACTTTCCACAACAGGGGCTGACAAGGAGTTTTTACCAGCTAGCAGCATAATAGCTTGGGCCTGTGAAGAAGAACAATAGATGTAAGTTTGGCAACCTTGCATGCCCTCCCCAATCATAGTCAAAAAGAAGAGGGGGAATGACATTTTGTACCCAAAAGAGCTTCAAATTCTTGATTTACAATTTCAAATATTGAAATTCTCAAATTACACCTTCAATCAAATGAAAACATATTGCTGTGAACCAATGTTCATTGCTTCATCAGACTATTTCTTTCATTGTGTTTGTTATATTTTCTTATTAATTACTCAATTATAACTATTTTACTAAAAAAATTTGCACTTGATTTTATTAAAATGAACCATATTACTATATTTTTACCTAATTGAGGGTACAATATGAGAATTCTAATCTTTTAGAGTGTCAATTATGAATTTAGAGATATTTTAGGGTACAAATTAAATTCCACTTACCCAAAAGAAAAGGAAAAGGCAAAAGCAATGGAAATGGAAAATTACACTTTGACACCATTAATTAAACTTTCTATCTCACAGTGCCCCTTTAACTATTTAATTTCTCACACTACACCTCAAACTATGTGGTCGGTGTCTCACTATCTCTTTTCTCACATTAGATCTTCAAATATAGTTATTAGTTTCACATTACCCTAACTTTAGATTTTTCGCATATTTTACCGTGCATGTGAATATTTTCGATACACAATATGATAGATGTTTAAGTTTCGGTCAATATAAAATCAATTCAAATAGTTGTGTGGGCTAAGGAGGGGGCAAAGTAAAACCAGAGTCATGGTTGAGGAGTCAGAGCTTGAAAATACTCTATGTGGTCAGTGATGGATCCAAGCCAAGGGCAGACAGAAGCAATCACCATCACAAAAATTTGAAAAACCCTCTTATTATGCTATCACTAACCAAGAGTATCATGTATTACCTCAATTCTTTATAAAAATTACAAAAGAATGTTAAATTCCAAAATTCCGATTTGCATTTGATTACCTTGTCAACTGTAACATTATCGTACACGTTGATGGTCCCAGCATAGAAGATCGTGAGCTGAGCTACTGAAGATTTATCATCGGATGAAGTTGGAAGCTCCAGATCACGCCTATATATAACAAGAAGTAAATAATAGAAATTAAGAAATGTTTTAGATTATTTAAAAGTTATTTTAATGAGAATGTACAAACATATATACTTACTTGACCACAGGAAATAATTCTCTCTCCAAGAAAGAAGGAGGCCGAGAAGCACCAACTAAATTTGGAGGAATAAGAAGACGGGGTGGAGTTCTTCTGATAGCCTTTGATTCTTCCTCATTTGATTTACCTATGATCTGCGTGGCTTTGGGAAAGAGATATTTCTTGAACAAGTCAAGTCTCTGAGACATGTCTTGGTCGGCTAATTTCAACCCTTCTTTCTTATAATCACTTGTGATAAGATTACGTAAATTACCCTTCTTCCATTGTATCGTGGTCGGGGGACAATCTAAATCAATCCTGCCATAACCGCAGCTCAATGAACAAGAGTTGAAAACACTAAATCCAACCAAAAAATAAAGGTTGAAAGGAAGAATACATTAATCTCTAAAGATAACAATACATTTATTTTTTTTGATAAATAGAAGGTATTTAGGTCTCCTAGAGTATTCGTAAGTCCTCCGGACTCTCAATCTTATATCCTCCTAGATACATAATTATGGAATTACAGGCACACAAGAGCCAACAACCAAGCTTTTACTGTATACTTTGAAGATTGAAAACGATTACTTTTGAACTTTGAAGATTAAACTCCGTCACGCCATGTAAATAGTAAAATTCTACTTACCGAAATAAAAACTAATAAAATTAAAAAACAAATGTTGTTAACATGACAGTGGATGTTGGAGATCAAATAGTTATGATGGATGTTTGAGGAAATTAGAGAGAGAACCTGAAAAAGGTGTCGAGTCTGTTGAACCCTTCTTCAGTACCAACTAAAAATTATAAGCTTCAATCAAACATATTTATACGAGAGAGAGAGAGAGAGAGAGAGAGAGAGAGAGATTAGGAATAACGCCTAGATGGGAAGGCATGGTGAGCAGGCCCGTCGATAGATTCGAAATCAAAAACGTTTTGTTTCTATATTAGGAAGGAGGCCTTAATGCCGTAACAAGTGAGTGTATGGATTTTCATCCAATTTTTATGCAATGACAGTTGGACTGATTAGGTGGATCTACATTGCTTCAAAACTCACTAAAATCACAGTAAAGGGACCCCAACACAGGCATGACTTGTGGGTCAAAAAAAAAAAAAAATTCGAGCAATGACAAAAATGCTTATACATTGAGGTGATTGGTTTTATGTTCGAATTCAAGATTTAATCTTTACAAAATTACGTAAAATTATCTACCATTTACTCCTCCCATAAACTGCTATATATAATAAGTCTTGTGTATTGATTATGATCTTTTACAAGTGCCCTAGTCACACGCAGGGCAAGGAAAGCAACTCTACGCAATCCGTATCGGAAAAGACCTAGTTCACGTGTCATCAAGTAATCTCGAAAGCACAAAAAACCCATGTTACCTCCTGTTACCAAATAATTCCTGTCAAAATCTTGGTAGCAAGCCTGCAACCTATGCAACCCATTCTGTTTGACATTAGTAGCCTTAAATTTTCTAGTCCCCATCAAAAGACAACTACACAAAAATATAATATAACCTTAGACATGTGTTCCTCATGTCCCATGTAAAAATGCCAACGTAGAAAAAGACATGATCAAAGACAGTGCACAAGGGAATTCAAGTCGGACAATTCAAAGCATTCTTGAGCTATCCAAGTGTTTTTACTTCAAAACTTTTGATTATTTCAAAGAGGAAATCTGTCTAGATAGGCTTGTTTCTGATCACTAAATACACACCATTTTTATCTTTTATCCTTGAACTCGTTATATCCACAGGTATTAGTTTTTTGCTTTCGTGTTTTTTGTACAAGCCGGATTGGGCGAAAATAGTTCAGAGTCCTACATTTGCCTTTGTTTTGTTTTGTTTTATTTGTCCTAGCCCGACTTAAACATATGTAGGTGGAATCCCATGTATGTGGCTATAATTTATACCACAACTAATAGTTGGTGTTAGAGAGGCCATTTTTGCCACCAAAGGAATGTGAAAAACTGATTATATATATAAACTAGCAATGACTTATACAATGCATCAAACTTGCAACTATCTCCTGACCACAATCCCTACCCTAATGTTGTTGAAAAATTATCAATTAGACCGCATAGGAAAATTTCAAAGAAGAAAAACAAATCTAATTTTTATATTAAGCAACAAAGAAATGTGAGAATTAGGTTAGTAGGGAGGAAAATCTTCCTAGATCCTATCCTTTCTAATTTAATTGTGATAATATAGATAACGTCGGAAAATAAGAATAAGCCTGGCAATAAGTTGCACCAAGGTCATTATTTTCTTGGGGAGAAAATAGCAGAAGCCCACATATAAGGAAATGCCACCTCTAATTTCAGTTTAGCTTATAAACCTAACCACAAATCATCCTTTTTTGTCTAAGAAGGGAAAAAAAATTGACCCACGTTGAAACCATCCTTTCGAAATAAAACTAGAGAATTAATAATCAAATTAGATTCAAAATATCTAAATTTACGATGCTCTTCAAAGCTAATTCCGCATTGTTGGGCTACGTATGCTGGTTGAAAATATCCCAATTATTATTAAGGAAATAAGCATTTACTGCTGGGTTAGATGGGACACGTTGGGCTTGTCAATTTTATAATGCATCCGTTTCTTTCAAGGTAAAGTACGTTTTTTTTCTGAAATTGCACTTATTAATGCCATAATAAAATCGAGACATGTGGACCCATCACCGATGAACACATGCCATTTTGAGGGACAAATGGCAACCTAATGAGGCAGCACCACACTCTCCCTCGAGAAATTGCAACCTTGCCCTCGAGGCAAGGGCACTATTGCAGATATCGAGGGTGACGCAGAAAGGCAAAATCTACCCCCGCGAACTATACATTGTATTGTGTCATGCAAGCATGCATCTATCCATGGAGTGTTGGATCCTTGTCTACAAAACAAGAGCACCAGTATGAGCATCTGGGAGCAATCTTGGCACGACATAGCTAGTTCGCCACTCTCACCACGAAAGTAAATGCCTACACTTAGGATCACAAGAATAACAAAGAATACACCTCTTGTAAATCCTCAAGAGGTACTTTTCAGGACAAAACCCTGAGAGAGCACGAAAAAAACTCATTGGACGCCCATAGCAGTAAAGTTAACCAATGGTACACTATTGTTTAATTGCCCCAAGAGATTAACAGGAAAAGCCCCCACCTTGAGATAAGAAAGTACGACTCTCCATGAGGGAGAAGTGAGTAGCCCCAACGGACAAGCACGATTGTCAACATAGGCCTTAGGTAAAGTCTTAAATGTTTAGTCTGCTCGAGTAAATCGCCCACTGTATGGCTCATTTTTCACTAGGTTGTGCTTGAATAAGTGATTAACTCTAATTAAGGCATAATTTAATAGGTAAATTGTGTTAGTTGAATAAAGTAAACTAGTCAAAATAAATCAAATTAGAGTTAGTGTGTAAATAAAGGATAATGCATTAATTGTTGTTCTTTTCAGGGTTTTGTACGTCAAAGTTACAAACTACTGGGAAGCCAATTGCATTAAAGTTACAAACTACTAGGGTGCCAATTATCAAAGCTCAAAACAAAGGGGGATCAAAGAATTCAAGGTCACCTAACAAGACTTTCATGCCACCTAACAAGATCAAGGCCACCAAACAAAAACTTTTCAAGACCACCTAACAAGATTCAAAGCCATTTAACAAGACTTTCACCCTCCCTTGTTGCCTATAAATACCACCCCTTAGGACTTGTAAAACATTTATCTTTTGGTAGTGGAAAACCCTTCAAAAGTATTATTGCTTATTGCTTTCTTTAAGTATTATTTTCTTTTTATTATATTATTGATTTCTTTTAATTTATTACTTTCTTTTACTTTAAGTTTTACTTTCTTTTATTGTGTTATTGCTTTCTTTTATTTTCATTGCTTGAACTTCCTTCTTCCCTTAGAGGAGTGAAACTCTTCCACTTTTCTAAAGCTTTACCGAAGCCGTGAAGGGTGGAACGTGATTCACTCATTTTTTGTCAAAGATCGGCTCCTTGTGTAAAGTGTTTTACCTTGTAACTCCTCTACTTGGAGGGATGAGCATCACTCACTTTTCTAGCTTTAACAAAGTCATGAAGAGTGGGAAGTTTCTCATCCAATCTTTAATAAGAGGAGATTATCCGGAAGTTATATTTATGCATTTCGTTTATACTTAGATCTAGTCTTTATTTCTTCATAGTGTCTTCTCATCATATTATTGTCTTTTATTTTAAGCATGAATAGCTAAATCTCTTAGTTGGCAAAACCAAAAGGAACCTCCACTTGGGTATACCATTTTAACTCATTCTCCTCCCCTTTTTAAGAGTTCAATGGTTCGGTTTAACTGGGTTGAGGGTGGATAACTTGGTGAGTCTTTGATATTCCGTAAGCCTAATCACGGTTTATGCTTAGGTACTCACCAATTTTACCCCTAACTTCCCACGAATTAATCGTTCATTCATACTCTATTAGAGGAGGGTTTCGAGTTGAGACGGTATTCCTATTAGAGTGACCTCTTAGATTTGCCAACATTTGTTTTTCATTTTACTAGCATCAAAACAACTTCACCAAACAACTTCCAACAATCAAAGATTTTACACTTTCTTTCTCCCAAAATCATCTTCCCCTTGGTTTACTTCCTCCTTCCCCGTGGAAAAGACCTTAGAATATCACCAAGTAAAACACGATCCACGAAAGTCTCCTTGCGCTTGGGAAGCACTTTTGTTCACATATACTTACATGTGAAATCTCATTCATCCACCATTACGTTGCCCTTTCTTTTGACATCATCCCTAGGAGAGTGACACTCCCTTTCATTCATATACTATACATGCTAAAAGGTGATGCTTACAAGTTAGGAAACAACAAGGAATTTTGTCAAGTATTTTTGGCATCGTTGCGGAGGAAGGCAAGTGTCAAACCAAGAAGGTGATTTTCGGACGACGAAGGTAAGTCCCATGATCTTCATCATGGGCGGAGGTACGTTGTTCCGTGTACATAATTTTGTTTGTGTATAATTTTGTTTATATATATTTTGTTTTATGTGGAGGCGGAACGACCGAAACCGACTTGTTAGACAAAACTTGGCCCCTACCATGAATATTGACCAAGAACAACCCGAGGATGCGGGTGACAATTTTGACAATATAGGTGCAATCCAAATGTCCAAAGGGGTGCAAATCCAAATGTCCAAAGGGGTGGGGGACCACAAGAACCCCAAATACCCA